CTCGCAGGTCTCGACATCGTAGACCTGGAGGTCGAGAGCAAGATCGACACCGGCCTGGTCCTCAGTGATGTCCTCACGGATGTACTCGCCAGCGACGTAGTAAGGGCCCTCGGTGACCTCAGGGCTGAGGAAGCAGAAGTCGGTGCTGGCGAAGATGTCGGCGACAGGAGTCTGAAGAGTGAAAGTGGAGTTGGACTGGTGGGTGCCTCGGGCATAGATGGAGCGGGCTAAGAAAGCGTTGTCAGTTCAGCTTCTGAATCGCTACTTCAAGATTGAAGTGGATGAAGGTACTCACCCTCGAGGTTCCTCTTCTTCATCATCTTCTTGGCGAGCTCCTCGCGTCTAGAACAGCGCGGGCCTCAACGCCACGGGCCTTGAGCTTGTCAGCGCAACGACCATAGTCGCTGCGGCCGACAAGGTCGAGGATAGCTTGACGCTCAGCGTGCTCGGCACGGATGTCATGGCCAGGGTGGGCCGAGACGGCGGTAGCGGCGATGGCTCCGAGGAGGAGCGAGGAGAGATGCATCTTGACGATTCTGATCAGAAGGGCAAGATATGGCGGTTACTGGTGGTGATGGACAGAAGATCAAAACTCCCCAGTGCAGGAAGATCCTCTGATATATATAACCGGAGCCTCATCGAGCATTGGGCATCCATCTACCCATCCATCCAGACCGCAAGCTTCACAACTGGAACTTGGAAAAGCTTGAGCCTCCTTCCACATACCAAGCATCATACACCCATGGTGTGCTCGTCGGAGGTGCTATGGGACCTTCCCTTTCGAATAACCCTGCGGTGACGAATGCGATTGTAGGGGAACAAGGTGTGGAGAAGTTCTTCTTTGGGTTTCAACCAGGGATGGTCTAGGAGGGAAGTGCCAGCAATGCCATCCGTTTGATTTCCTGGAATTCCTGTTGGCGGAGAAAGATCTCAAGTTAATTGCCACACACTCCATCCACAATGCAACGACTGTTCCCATGAAAACCGACGCGTAGATTTGCAAGGCCATTGTGAAAGGAATTTCCCGAATTCGTAACCCACGGAGCTTTGGGCAAGATAGCCTGAATTCAAAAGAAGGGAAAACATGCCGTTCGGCTCGCTTGTTCCTGAAGTTGGTGGACGCGAGCGGAGCTTGATCCGTTCGGTACCTCTGTCTTGGAAGCACTCTATGGCGAACCTCTTAACGCAGCCTATTATCATATCAAGATGTACCCCAGACAATGTTAGATTGAGGTCCTATATTCTCTGTATTGGCTGGTCAGACACGGCGCCACCAAAGCAAGAAACACGCTACGCACGAATGGCTGGAGGTGCTGGGCTTGTTTGACAGGAAACGGTCCCCATCACCATTCAATGCTTGCTTGAAGTTGAATTTGACCCTTTCAGTATTCTGGAGTCGTGATGGTGGGAGGGATTCGTCATCCCGGCTCCACACAGAACCCACTTCCCCCTGGACAGGGCCCTTGCTAGTTGCTCGAGGAGATCTGGAAGAAGAAGAATGGTGGTTTCCGAAATGGGGATGCTCGGGTTGTGGGGGTGAAACAGAAGAAACCCGAAGGCGCACCGCTCGTAACGCGTCCCCTGGAATAGTTGCAGGGGGTTAAAGTACGAATTCAACCAATGGCATATTCTGTATTTGTGTGCTTTGCCGAAGAAGAAACAGCCCTGGTCCATTTGGGGCTCTGCGGGAGCTGACTGACTAAAGAACTGACTTTGTTCTTCGACTTGACCTTCATCGTTTGGTTCAACACCCTCCCTGGTTGGATATGATGAAGAAACTGGACAGTAAGTGTGTGTTCGGATTCTTCCGTACCTACGTTGAGACCAGGATGAAAGCCAGGCACGGACAGGAAGACATCCCACGGCTCCGCACCTCCGTCGCTCTGCCTGCTGAGACGGGAGAATTGTGGGATGAATATGAACGAAAGGGAAGACGGAGAGGGCTGCTGCGGGAAGATCTACAATCGCCATGATACCTTACCCTAGCGAGTCTAGCTCAGCACTTGTTGACGCGCGTCTTTCGTCGGGGCATTGCTGTCAACCATTCTAGCGAGACGCTCGTGCGTGAGGGAGGAGAGGCGGTGGAAACGAAAGGAATGCGTACGTTACCTCTAACCCATATCAGTACAGGGGTGTGAAGTACCGAGAGCTAAGCTTCACGTCTAAGATGGGGTCCTGCCCATGACCCCCTTCCTGAACAGTTCCGAAGACCAGCCCAGATGTCTGCCCTGGTTCTGTTATGTTTCCCTTCTGAACAACCGGTTTCGAGGCACATGAAAAGAGAGAGTTCCCAATCCATTCAATCAAGGTCTGTGTGCCGCACTGCATTATCTCAGATTTCTCAAGTCAAGTGCCTACCGCATCAGGAAGGCCAAAAGAAGATACAGCTCTTGGCAAGCCCGTCTGGTGCAACACTTTGTTGCGACACTACCGCCAAGAGGAGGAGATAAACCTGGTTCATGACTTCTGCCCGCGAAGGGACCTGCAACAACACGCTGACGAAAAAATTCAGGGAAGGAACTAAGAGCCGCGTTGGGTTGTATCAGCTTATGCGCCAGTTACAAGCACGGAATTACATATCATTGAGAGGAGCCGAGGCGGATGCAGATGTGAATGGGGTGGGAGACTCACAATTAGGTGCTTACCTTGATGCCCGGTCATATTCAACCTTGATCGCTATGTCTTCGAGTGCGACGCCAAGAGTCGTAGTCAAATGGAGGGGAAAATGTGTTTCTGCTTGAGGAAGTTGTCGTGTATCCAGTTGACAGGCAAAGATTGCAAACTGCTGTCGAGTCGGTCGCCAAAAAGATGAGCGTTTCGTTGCCGCCACTCAGTCTGGAATTCTACCCCCTTTGTTGACGACTGGGGTAGGGAAGTGGGAACAGCAACGACGGTGGGAATTTGAAAGAAAACTCCGAGTAGTAGAATGGTTGACGAGTCAGACCGCAGGGATTGCCAATATTCACGGAAGTTCCTTCTGCTCTAGAAGCTACGCGGATCCAAGGGTTCCACATGAAGAACTGAAACATCATGAAAGACGCGTCAGCAAATAGCTGAGAACCCGCGTTGACGTGGAAAAGCGGTGGCTGTGGTGGAAAAGTTCAGGCTCCGCAAACACCTCCTTTAGGAGCCGGGTGCTCCGGGTGAGCGGCCTACCTATAACAACAAGGGCACTCCAAACATCAGAGTCGAAGAAGTGACGAAAGACTAGCATCAATATCAAATGTTGTCGAGCATGATAAACGAATGACCCCCTAGTGACTTCGTCAGCAAACATAGGTCAGCAAGTTATGATCTCGACACCGACAAGATGCATACGTACCATCAAAGTTGTTCTCCTCATGGGAACGGACACTAACTGCCCCATCGAGGGCATCTTTCGTGATGATAGCGTCGTCGACGTCCTTCCCTTCGGCCTGATACGAAGACAGGACACTCGCCCCGTGTTTCCACCTTTAGGGCATTAACGGCCCACATCACTCCCCGCGTTGAGGATCTCGATGTACGGAACCAGCAACCCTTGATGGAATGGATCATGCGTATGTGTACGGCCCATCATCTAACAGCCGACGGAAAATCTTCTTGTGCGAGTACCGATGACGAAAACTCGGGCAAATTCCATCAGATCTCTTATGCCAGTTGTCGCATATTGCGCGTTATTGTCGTAAAAGGGCGGACAAGCAGCATCTTGGCAGTTTCACTGCCATTGGGGTTTGAGTCGGGACGGAAGTTGAAGCTGAAGTGTTCAAATGGTCTAACGGGCAAGCAACAGGCCCTTGCAATGACTCTGTTGATATGCTAGAGGTTGGATTGGTGAATCTGCAATGGACCACCGTCATGCTGGTTCGCAACGAGAGAGTGGCCGCGCCACCGCTTTCGAGCCGTCGGTGGGATGCCGCTCTCGCCGGCGTTCTCTCAGAGTCAATCGACCGAAACTATACTTGAAGGGGTAGAAATCAGCTGATGAATTAAATGGGGATGCGGCCGTATCTAGCAATGCAATGAACGTCGCTGTTTTCGTTGTGGGGGTGGCAGTGGTGATAGTGAGAAGGTCGAAGTTGGGAAAGGCAAAGAGTCGACAGAGTTGATAGAGTGTGACAGTTTGACCCAAATTTCTTCTCTTCGGTTCGGTCGCTTCTCCCTCATTCTTCTTCTTGCCCTATTGCACCTTCCTCGCATTCTTTCTTCCATTGATGCATAGATATTCGTTCCTGCCTTGATCCGACATGTTGAATCACGGCATTTTGCGTCTGATGGAAGGAGCAGAGAATATATTTCCCACATCATCCTTCGCTCCTTCCAAAAAAGGAGAGAAAAGGCGGAAGTCTCTTCACCTCCCACGGCGCAATTGATCTCCCTCTCGAAGACTCTCGAAGCTCATGGATCGAATTCCGTGGATTGGCGGGCTTATTTTAGACGAACGGTTGTTTTCTAGCGACGCGTATAGTATTGGAAAGTCACCTGGGCGCCTCGAAGTCACGTTAATGGACTTACCTTGAGTTTGCCAAAGACTTGCGGGTTCCATGGAAAGAGCCGCTTTTGGACGGCAAACAGATGTTTCTGATGTGCGTAGCGCTCAACCTGGTGAACCCTTAATGAATTAGTACAGCTGATTACTCATATAGAGCAAAGTCTTTGAGGTTTTGAATGAATAATAAAATATTTCTCCATGCATAACATCTTGTGCTAAGCCGAAAACCACCGAGTGTTCAACCTCTGTTCACGTGCCCTGTTGGATGCGACCGTATTTGTCTTCCAGGAGCCGTCTTGGACCTATTCTTAGGAGCTAGCTCCGAGATCCACAATCATCCAATCATCGGAACCATCCTCCATCGGGTATGGTGTAGCGGTAACATCGTTGACTCTCACTTCTCAGAAGTGACTGCTCTCTCAACAGCCCCGGGTTCGACTCCCGGTATCCGAGTTACGATATCTTTTTTATAGCTTTTTCTTCATTGGTTTTGGCAAAAAGGCATTATTCCCATTCTTGCTTTTCTTTTTTCTTGTCTGTATATGTAATATGCAATACGCTTTTCCTTATCTGCCGCGCTCAAGTCCCGAGTTTTTTTTTTGTGGTGGACTTTCCCGCATTCCCCTATGGTCTGAGACCCTGAGAGCATCAGACTCGATGTTCCTCAAATTAGGAAGTTACTGTTAAACGTCCGTTCGATTCTATTGTACATTCTATTGAAGCCAACCGCATTTGAAGTTGGCTGTTACTCAGATCCGTCTTTATTGAAAATGAGATCAACTACAATCCCTGTCAGATTTGCAGTCCTGACCTTCTAGTTGTGATTCGTTGTTGACACTCTGCTGTTGTTAACCTGGTGAGACTCGAGGAGCCACGAGTCGCGCCTCAAGTATAGTTTCAAACTATTGGTCCATAGCGTGGGGGAAGCGAATGCGAGGGCCCTAAAAGTATAGAGTAGTCGGCTCAGATCGAGATCCGGTTCTCGATGTTCTGGCTGGATGTGGTTCCAGTCGGAGAGATGTGGATTTCACGCTTTCAGTTGCCCCCAACGAAGGCGTAATACACCACCATCTAAATCGAGCTTGGTAGTTACTCGGGGTTCAGCCTTTTGCATCCAGTGCGTGATCATGCCCTCGAGGTTAGCCGCCCGTGAGTTGACACGGAATCCTCCTCTAAGGAAGGCTTCGTGGCTAACTGCAGCTCAGCCATCCATTGGGCAAAGAATGTCGCCTGCAGGATTTCGTGCAGCGGGGGAAAGGCTCATGTCTTAGTAACAAGATACCGGCGTCATAGGCCATGTGTCAGAGCCTGATCCCTCGAGAGCACATCAACCAGCCAGCATAAACGTGATGTGTGTCTGTCATTGGGCTTACATGACACTTGCCAGCAACTTGAGACGTCTTTGTGTGAGATGCATTTCTGAAAGCCTGCGTAATGTTAGCACCTTCCTCGTATAGCAGAGCCCTCGAAATAGTGCGTGACAGAGATCTGCTCACTGCAGAAACTCTTGCTAGCAGCTAAACAGACCAAAAGAACAGTTCGCAATCCACGTCCCTGGATGAACTATGGCTCTGTATTGCTTTACGGCAATAACTTGCGACCCCCGCAACGTGGCAGTCCCATGCCTCAAGCGGCAACTGTCCGCGGAATAGCGGCGCCCCGGACGCTGTCTCAGCTGTGTCTCGCGTGCCCAAACAGCACTGGTGCGTTGACCTCGGGAGGATCTCGCTGCTTTCATTTGATTTGAAATAGCTTGAACATACCGCACAGCGGTCGACGGTGGCGGGTCACTTGATGCCCAGCAAGCTTTACCACACCTCCCATGCACCCGGGGAACCTTCCAGATTCTCCTCAAAACTTCTGTCGGATAACTCGCATTGTGCCGTATTGGGGGTCTTTTGTTCATGGGCGTGAATGGGTAAATGGGCATGCTCTATGTCGGTGTCTAATAATAACCTGTCAGCTTTAACTAATGAACGAACTAGTCGGACGTTGATAGCTTAGCCTAGGCTGGACCCTTTGCTCCTTTATAGCAAGGTCTGGTGATTCGCACTGATCTCGAGGTGGAGCTACTCACCAGCTCACTGTTAAAAGTATTCTCAGCGTGATGGATGTCTTATTACTAGACAGGTGAGGCCAAGAAGCTGCTTGGTGCACAGTAAGAAACGCGAGACATCGGCCTTAACCCCGTCCGTTATGCCCGATGATGTAAATGGTTTCACTTGAAGATTGCTTAGACATTCCTTATGACTGAAGTAGCGGCGGTGGACTCCCAAATACCTCATTAGATCACGTTAGCGTGGTAGGGGAGACTGCTGGGTTTGTCGGATGAACTTCGAAGGATTTGACCCATGGTCGACAACGCACGGCTATAGGCCATAGGAGGCTCAGCGGAAGCTAGATGCACCATGATCACGGTTGCACAACCGACGTCCCAGTGGAACGTGCCCTCCATCGCTGGACATGTAAGTGGATCGGAGGATCGCTGCTAGGGCCTGTTCACGAAGGTTCTGGTCAGGCCAGTGAAAGACGGCAGCGTCTGGAAACCATCGCGGACCCCGAAAACCGACTACGTACCGAGTACCTGCGGCACATATGTTGCAAGATCAAATGTACCCCCACTGCTGCTCAGGAGCGACACGGCGTGTGTTTGAAATGTACCAGTTGGTGTGCGTGTCATTATGGTATAGACATTCCACTTCCAGAGATGATACCGCCGGCAGAGGTGTGCTTATCAGGTCGATAGTCCGTGTGTGCATGGTGCAATTGGTACCTAGTTCTAATATCTTCAGTTTCTCAATTCGGTTCTACGGCTAACCCGAATTGCGTAAGATTATTAGTTGTGAGAGGTGTGACAGGAGCAAAATCCCACCCCCGCGGATTGATATTACCTCTAATCCCGAATAGCAATAGCTGGAGACAGAGCAGCGAGCCCATATCGAGCCCCATAGCATGGGAGACATGATGTCATACCTAGGTGCCGTTGATACCTCTCATGGAAGAATGTGTCAGAAAAAGGAGGAAAAAGGGTCTGAGCTCCGAAGCTATACTTTACATACGGCACAAATTCATCAAAAAGGTGTATACTGTGTACTACAGCATCTTCGACCAAGGATTGTTGAATGGCTCTAGCCTGACAGAAATTTCAATTAGACACTTCTTGAGCCACACGAGAGTCTTCATGTGATCATATTCCCGAGCTCTCAGTTGTACTGTACAGGGTCGAATCATTGAGTTGTGCCATCTTTCGGCAAGGAGTCTTGGTTCAAAACACTCTCCATGAACTTGAGAAGCTGACAATGGAAGTGCCCAGGGGCAGCAGCGAAACTGCCAGTCGTCGAGTGAGTCCCGCCTGCCGTTCAATTCGCTTCTGAAGAATGTTCGGACATGGTGCCTCTGTCCCCGGAACCGAAACCGAAGGCGAAGTGCAGAGATCCCGGTGTCCGCACGGGAAGGAGCGAGGGATCATGGCCAACCAGGCTCGGCAGGGGGCGGGCTTCAAAGTGAGGGGACCCCGTGATGTAAAATAAGATTCTCAGCGGTTTCCAAGCACAGGCAAGCTACTATGTCAACACCAGGGATTTTTCACCCGAAAGGTGATCAATTGACATGATGTTGGACGCTGAACGGAGGCAAGAGGGTGACAGCTGAGGTGAGCCTGAAGGTGAGAACTGCCCGTGAGAAGGTGCCTGGGTGCAATCCGCTAAACCCCATTGTCTTGAGGGGGCAGGTGTGGGGAGATCGGCAGCCCTTCCCGCGACTGGACCAGACGGGCAGTTAACAGGCCAACAATGTACTTGACTACTTGTAGACTACCCTAGCGACTTACGTGCAGCTGCTGAATTGAACCACAATTGACCAATCACGAAGCAGCTTTGTTCAGCCCGCCAACCGCAACTGACCGCCAACGCCTCTCAGGTGTAGGAGCGAGCCGTGCCAGGAGGTTTTCATGACAGTGAGTCCATCCAGTTGTTAGAATGGCTGTACCATATTGAATGCTGATGGAAGTAGTACCAAGCTCTGAAGAATCACGAAAAGGGGGCCCATAACATAGGAGCGGAGAGATTCCCGTGCCCTGTCACAGGTTGGCATTGCCTATATAGTGTGCATTCGAGTTCTGCCTTGCAAGCAGAACATCGTCCTATCTTTTGTAGGTTTGGCTGTCTGGGCATATGCACCCCAGCCTGTCATATGCCCCTATTGTAGCAAGACGTAAGTGTCGCAAGGCTCTGGTCGATACTTCGTATCTAGTAACTGACAGCCCCAGATACGTTAAAAAGCCATCGTTTGACGAGCACTTAAGGCGCTGTAGGACAATAGTGACGAATTGAGACCATCTCAATACAACACCAGTGGAAACAGTTTACACATCGGCTTCGAGCATGGCAGCACGAATGAATTCATCTGATGATTTATCAAGTTACCACCCGCTGACCGGCGCGTCTCTATCTCCTGATCCTCTCAACATGACACCTTCTTCACAGCTGGAATTCCAGTTCCAACCCAACGACCCGATCACAACATTCTCGTCTTCCCAAATAGGGTCAGGACTGGACAGCGCAGGTGCCTTCACCCAGGGAATAAGCATGAACTCGGCCGGGGGCTATTCCCCAGGGGAGTCCGCGCACCCACCACACTACATCTTGTCACCTATCGACGAACAACCAACTTCCTCCGTACCGATGTTTACAGATGTTGCCTGGCGCCCTGATGAATTATTGGAGCAGCAATATCAACAGCCATTTACGCCTGTAACGGCTCAGATCTCGACCGAAGCGTCGCAAGGAGTGTTGCATTTTCTCCGACCTGGCCAAATAGCGCTCTCGAGAAGGCAAAGCGCCCCAGCCTGCTCTTTACCCCTAATGCCAGGAGAAAACCCGCCTTTTCGTCTTGACGGACCACCGCCTCTACTACCGTCACATCTGTCAGTGGCTGTGACGTCGCCACCGCCTGATAGCCCTGACTACACCGGCCATCCGTCGTTGAGTCTGGCAATGGAGCCACAGATGACGTTCCAGCGTGTCGGCGTTAAACGGAAGGGGGTGATGCAGATCGCTGAGAGTAATATCGTACGGCATAACACTTGCTTCACCAGTCGTCCGGAAACCCAAAGCTATGGCGGTGCGGGAGGATGGTTGAGCATAAACTATCCCAACCCTGGGTTCGGTATGTGAGAAAAGGAGCTGGCGGTTTTTATATGAAAGGTTTTTTTTTGGGACCATAGAGGAATAGGGACCTCAGAACACCTTCTGTTGGATTGAAAGTTACCATGGTTGGCCAACATCCTCCTTCTATTCATCTCAAAAAAATCATATTCTTACGATTTCCGGACTTTTTAGTATTATCAGATCTTTTCTCGGCCTCTCTTTCATTTCTATCGGATGTTTGTCTACCAAAATATCGTCATCTTTTTTCAGCATTGCAGATATTATGAGCAGGCTTCAGAAGAATCCGAGACATACAATAATAGAGCGGCAATTCAACATCACAAATTCTGAGTTAACATTTGTTACGTACCTTGCAATAAATCCAAACCGTACAACGTGTGTGCATCCGATCAAGAACTTCAACTATAATACGGGGGGAACCCTCCATTTGTTTACAAAAACTGCAAGAAGGAACAGCAAGGAAAAAGAAGATCAAAAGGAAAATCAAAAAGGAAAAATAAAGACGAAGTAAAAGAACACCATGTGTGACAAAGACAGAAACACAGACGTAAAAAGCGTAAAAAGATGGGATTGCCAGGAATCGAACCTGGGTCCTCTCGGATCCGTTGTATGTCAAACGACCACAACGAGAAGTACTGACCACTATACTACAATCCCTGTTGTTCTTGTTGTAAGACGGCCGACGAGCTAGAGGTTATGTAAGTGGGTAATTGATATGTTTATGCTGTGCAGCCTGACTTGTTACACACATTATCTGTTTTTGCGCGATGAGCGAACGATTGGATTGACCGGGTTGAAGATAAGCTCAAGCTCCGGGAAAATGAACCAAAATTTGATGATCTGCTTGCCATCTCATTTACCAATAATTCTACGACGTCAGGGCTTAGGGTCAAATTAGTTAGTTGTGGTGAAAACGAGTGTTTGAAGTGATTGAAGGGTTTTCGATTTACACTGTAGGGGTACGTAAGGAAGAAGTAGAAGGAAGGTGTTCGGATGAAAGACATCAGAATGCTGTAGCTAGACACAAGCACTACAAGTAATACAACATTGTACACATCAGTCCTGGAAAGTTCGTTGGCGTGGGACTTCACAACGTACTCATCGCAACTCAGCCGATATTCCACCAAATTCCATGCAAGAAGTTTGTATCAATCGCTTACATTTTTCATACTTCATACACTCTCTCCATTTTCCATTTTGAATGTAGTTATCCCGTTGATTTTTTGTGAAGTTGTAGAGCCCCCTGTCACGAGAGCCGCACTAACAAACTTATAAGGACTGATGTGTATGTCATCATGTTCATGTCTTGGTATGTATATCTAAGCGTCAGCCATGCATGCTATCTACAAATCATAAAAACTATATGTGATCTAAAACGCCCCCAAAACAAAGCGGTCTTGTCTTCCGTGGATGATGCACCGCCGTCGCTCATCTTCCCTGACTGGGAGCGTTGTGCCTGCGTTGTCGTGGTGCGCATGCGCTGCACCTTGTTCATTCCATCCATCTCATCTCTTTTGCAGAAACCCAGGCCCCATAAAAGACTTCCCTTCTTTTCCCCCTTCAGTTCATCCCATCCCATCATGCGAAAAAGGGCACCTTGTCATACAACCCATCATAAACCTTTCCCACCCACCCAAGCGTCTCCCCTCCCCTCGCGACAACCCCCAGTCCACCAGCAGCCCACAGCGCCGTCGCCGCCGCCGCCACCGCATTAATCAAAACAAACCTCCTCCTCCTCTTCCTCCTCGCCTGCCTATCCACTTCGGGAACGCCCGTGTGTCTCTCCAACTTCCACCCAGCGCCCTGCGACACACCAAACCACTTCGCCCACCCCCAGATCATGTGTCCGCATCCGACTCCCAGCAGCGCCGCGTACGCAGCCCACGACGTCCAGGGGTGTCGCACAAACCCGTGCGCGACGTACGCCAAGCCGATGTTTGCGGAATCGCCTTCGACAGCAAGCGGCAACCCGCGGTTCATGAACGCGTGCGCAGCCACCACCGCCGTGAAACCGTAACCCGAAAGCGCAATCCAGCTGAGGCGCGGCCACCCGGAGCGCAGGAAGCGCGCCGTGGGCTTGGCGATCAGACCGTGTGTTTTCTCATCGGAGCCGACGCCGTAATACCTGCGCAGGTTCTTGCGGCGGCGGAGTAGGCGCGCCAACAGACCAGCGCCGACGTGGGCAACGATGGGGAGGGCGACGAGTAGAGGTTCGGAAAGGGGCGTTTGGTAGATCTCGCGCGCGAGGAGGAGGTAAGATTCGGAGGCGGGGACGGAGCGCGCCAGGAGGGGGATGACGGAGGTTGTGGCGAGGTGGAGCGAGGCGAAGAGGGAGAAGGTGTAGGAGGAGTAGCGTTGAATGCGGGTTACTAGAGGAGGAGGGGAGAGGTTAGTTGGAAAGTCTAGACATATGCGTGGGGAGGAGAACAAGGCTTTGAGAAGGGCATGGGCTCTTACGGTAGTATATCGCTCCATGACCGCTACCGCTTAAGCCGAGTGGTGTCGTTGTGTTGTGTAGACCAATGCCGCCGGCCGTCCCTCCTGATCCGGAGGACTTGAGAGAGTGTATCGAGTCTGCTAGAGATCCGCCTTCGCCGGCGTCGTCCGAGGAGGGCGAGGCATCTCTTGTTGGGTCAAAGTCGGGACCGTCTTCTTGGTAAGAATCAAGTATCGGCTCTGGGTCGAGTTGTACGAGCGAGATGAAGGTCTCTTGCGACGCTTTGTGACTCAGTCGATGGTCCCGAGGGTCCAGGCTGTGAGGATCCATGGTGGATGGACTGGACTGGGTTGTAAAGCGTCGGGTTGCGCCAGTCTCTCGCAACCGTTACTTGTTCGATCGTGATTTGCAATTTGTTTGGACTCCAATTCGTCTCTTCTGTCTTCGAGGTTTGTTGTGGTACGAATTGGGACTTCAGGAGACTCCGGCAGGTTTGTCGTCAAGAACCATGGAAGCAGGGCCTGGAAAGTCACAGATGGGTGGAGGTTTCGGGTTCTTTAGGTGCGTACTGGCGCATTTGTTGAGTGACGAGGGTGGGTCCTCACCGGCTCGGCCGTTGGGGTCCTCAAGCGGACCATCGCCGGCCAAGCACAGTGTCCGCTAAGCCAAGCCCGGTGGGGATTAGCGGTGTGGTGGATTCTGTGGAGGCACCTTCCCCACGTTTCCCTGCTGTCCGTCAAAGTTGCATTGAAGGAACTGTGATTCGTGCCGCCGGCAGTTCTTTGTGTCTTTGGGTGTGACCTCACACGCAGACGCGACTGCATTTCGAGCTTCGACTTTACACATGTTCACTTTCTCTTGCACCCATACTCAACTGCACCGCCCCAACGATATCGAACCGCTGAAAACTTTATCCTGAGAACCGTATGCTCAACTCAAATTACAAAATATCATTTCGCCGATATCATCCAACCTACCGCCAAAATGCCTCCAGTAAGCATCCATCCGTTCACTGCTCCCCACGCAGCCCTTGACGGCAACCTGGACATGCTAACCATCCCCCTCAAACAGCGCCACCAAACTCTCCCACCAGCTCAAACCTCCTCCGCCCGCGAAGCCCTCCAATCATTCTACTGTCAGCTATGTCAAAAAGGATACAGCCGCATGAACGACTATGAAGCCCACCTCTCCTCGTACGACCACAGCCACAAGCAGCGTCTTAAGGACATGAAGCAGATGGTGCGGGACCCCCAAGCTGCCGCACGCGCTAGGAGACAAGAGCAAAAGAATGAGGGCGTCATCTCCATCAAGCTTGGAGAAGCTGCGGCTGGTGGTGCTGCTGCTCCCGGGGGTGGTGGCTTCAAGAAGGGCGGGTTTAAGAATCCGGGGTTTAAGAGTGCCTTTGTTCCTTTCGGGGAAAATAAACCGGCCGCGGCCGTGACTACACCAGCACCATCGACTAAGGATGATACAGCGGCGGAGATCAAGAGGGCACCGAGAAGCGAGCTGGTTGAGAGCGACACCGAAGACGAGGGATACGAGGTTTACGATCCTAGCAAACCGACCGACTGAGCGGGGTTTTTATGGGAGGATATCAATTACCGAAGTAGGGGAAATGCACCGCGCGTGCAAACCAACAGCAGCATTGAAGCAACAGAACTACAGGGAGTATCAACAGGTTTTGCGAGGGAAGTCTTATCAGCTTTGGACGCCACATTCGCTATTACAGAAGGATCGAATTGTTGCGCCATCCCTCCGATGGAGTCGAATCTGCCGAAAATACCGCCGAACTCCAGCGCGCAAAACAAGAGCAGAGTGTCCGCCAAGTTCAAGAAGAGATGGGTGGAAATGGAACGCCAAATTGTTTTACAAAGGATGCAACACCTCTTATCACCGACCGGTTTTCTACCTCAAGGACCCCCGGTCATGGTCGACCAGATCCTCGGTTCGAAGCCCGACAAGTCTTCCTCCACCAAGTTCATGATATGTCGATGACCAGAAAACCAATTACCGAGCTGCGCCGTTTGCGTGGCATCGATAAGACCAGCGGGAATATCTGCACCAAAGACACCAGGTGTGACTGCGGCCGCAGCACCTGGTGCCGCCATGTTACCATGTTGGTGTTGTCGCTGCTGATGAGCTGGGTTCGAGCCGGAGTTTGTATGCTGTTGCTGCTGGTGCTGTTGATCATGAAGGAGCTGCTGGGGCATGAACCCGAGCTGGCTGAGATACATATCGAAATCATGACCGACTAGCATCATGTCTTGGTCTTGTTGCTGCTGTGCTTTGGTCTCGACGTACAGGCGTGCGACGTGGCAGAGGACTTGACATACGCGATTGAACTTGTCGATAGCCTCGGAGATGCTGCAGACGGTGGAGAGAGAGGCGACGAAGTGATCCATGCGGTCCAGGTCCTGCATGTTAGATGTCTCGATGACATGGCAGAAGAGAACAATAAAGGGGATGAATGGGGCGTAAAGGATCGTCCTATTGGTTTTGGATGTGTTAGAGTTGGGACGGAACCCCCCAATACAGATATCAAACCACGTGGGGGTGTGTGTGCACACGACTTACCAGTGAAGATACCCAACCTTGGTGAAATGGCTTAACCCCGGAATCTGCATGCATTCCAAATGAACCTCGACCGCCCGCCTTGCCGCTTCGATACACTCCGGGTTGAAGGTGCTACCGAACCCCGGAGCGGCCGGAATGGCGCGGTATATCAGACACAGCGACGCCCAGTACGTGACCTCGTCCGACTGCAACATGAGCGTCACCGTGAACCCGTCCCTCTTTCCGGAATCAGCCAGCTTGCCCGTCTCGCGCGCGTGACGGATCAGCTCATCATTTTCCCTGGCTATCCCTTTAATCGCCTCAACCAGCTGGCGCGCGCTCTCAATGCGCTGCTCAGGCGGTCGTGACAGGGCCGCGATGGAGTACAGCTGCTCGTAGGCTTTCCCCATGACCTCGGCGTGCTCGATCCACAGGTTGAGCATCTCCTTCCAAAAGTCGGCGACGTTGATGGTCCGGCCCATGCGTTTCGGGATGGCGATGTCGTAGTCTTGGATCATGGACGAGCGGCCGAAGCGGAGGGAGAGACCCTTATCTAGCATGTAGGCGAACCAGAAGAGCGCGGACTTGGTGTCGTTGGAGACGTCGTCGTTTGCACTGGTGACGCCCGAGGAAGAGGTGGCGGGAAGGCGGTGGTAGCCGAGGGTTTGACAAATCATTACTGCTGAAGAGTTGAGTTGCCAGGCGAGGGTGAAGCGGGAGGCTTCGACTGCGTAGGAGGCCTGGGTGGGTTAGGGTCAGCAAATCCATGTTATGCCACTTCTTTGAAGAGAAAGGGGGAAGATACTTACAGCTAACAACAATGCTTCGATACTCTCCTTCCTTGCGGGCATGAACAGAGGTAGTGCCATCAGAGCCGTCTCGAGGTTGTCTCGGCACAGGTTGCGGTACTCGAGCAGCTTCTCGGCCTGATGAGCCTCGTCCGCCCTCGTGGCCTTCTCCTGGAAGAGGTAGAACAGACCGGCATTGACGACGATGAAGGTTGCCAAGCTGTAATCTTCGGTGGCGAAGTATACCCGGCGACAACAGTCGACGAAGTCATCTACCGCGATGAAGGTGCACATCAACGTGAACGTCTCTGGTAGCTCGTTCTTGATATCCCGAAGAATGCCGACGACCACTGGGCTCGGAGGCATAGGCAGCTCACGCATGCCTCCCCTAGGCATCGGCTTCGCGTTAGGAAACCTCGAGTCCTGGTTTGTCCGCTTGCGGTTCTGCATGCTGACAATCTGCCGCAGGGACGACAGAGCCGACTCCATGCTGGGGCTGAGCGACGTATCCCGTGTCACGGCGTTCTCGAGAAACTCGCTGGCGAAGACGGTCTGGGCGGCCATGGAGGAGTTGCCCTCAAAGGCCGAGTCCATCTCATCGTCGTTGTCGTCGTCATCGTCGATGGGAATCTCGCCCCGGTCTGGGTCACCGACGATGTCGCTGATGATGGCCACGGGGGGTTCGCTGGCTCCGGGAGAAGCATTGATATTGCTGTGGGTGCCGGCGGCGTGAGAGGACGATTCAGATGATGGGGTTCGGGACTGTGAGATGACCATCAGCTCACGCAGCATCTTCTCGATGCCGGTGAGCCGGGTGCCGAAGTGGTCGATTTTGCGCTCATATTGCGCCGAGATGAGAACTCGCTGCCGTTGTTCCTTGGGCTTCTGGCCTACTCCGCTTGAACTGCATGACCGGTTTGCTGTCCTACAATTTGAGCATGGCGACTCTTTGTCACAACGGATCTATGTAGTCAAGATGCAAAGGGGCTTGGTTAGAAATGCCATGACCTTTGGAACTTGATGAGAGTACTATGGCCTTGGACCTACCTACCTTACGGAGCCGGCATTGATCGCACTGTAAAATCGGCGTGTGTCAGTGAGGCGCTTTTCAAGTTGCACTCATGCATTCGATGTAGCATTGCTGTGTAGAAACTCTTAAAGGGGTGACATGTAAGGGGTTTCTGCGCAAGTACCCCGAGTTGGGGAGCCCAATGCGAATACGGGTCCGGTGCGGGTGCGGGTCGGACACCGCGGGCACCACACCGGGATCCGTGAGGCCGGACCCGGACCAGATCGGGCCCCGCTATTCAAGACTTCCGGGTTTTCGGCGCCCGTTTTACTGACGGGGATTAGGGGACGTGACTTTGCGGAGCCTAGGAAAGATCGAGATAAAATGAACAGAACTTACTGCTCTCTTTAGACCTGCCCCTGGACTGAGGCCACCTGTGTTTCCCTCGGCCGCGTCCCTCTCGCCACTAGCCTCTCGTTCTGTGTCCATGTGTGTTGTTTTATGGTTCCTTGTGCTGATCCAAAGGACCGGGACGGTCGTAGTGGTTGTCTGTTACGTATCGGTAGGGCAAACTGGAGTTCAGGTAGCCTGGGCTTGCGTCGCCAAGGAATCAAATGTTCACATTTAATGCTGGTCAAAGATACCTCTTGTTTAACAAAACGACAACGGAAGAGACCTGATGCAAATGTCGAAGGAGGACAATATCAGCAATGAAAAAGGCACCTGAAGCGATTGTGACAGATGCCCTTCTAAACGGGACTGCTGTGGCTCTGAGGCTATACTGCTATGTGGAGCCTCGTATTGTGCTGAATTGACAGGACTGCGCCGCTGAGCTGGAGGCTGTGAGAATGTGAGAATGGGAGCTGCGACTGCTGACTGTTGAGTGCTGGAGCTCCTGACTCCCGTCGTCTCGACTTTGGACGTTGGATGGGAATGAGTCTTGGCACCGCGGCCCGCGGATTCCGTCTCTGCCCGCGGACATGGACCCATTTTTCTTTAACTACACACTTCGGTCCTTTCGAGACTGCAACTCGGACCTTCAACAACATCCACTTGCCCGCCGCGGCGCCGTACTTTTACAATCGTCGTTACCGCCCCTTCTTGGCTGCCGATTTGGTAGACACAATTATACACGGGTGTTGAATCTGAAGGGCCATTCACTGTCCTGTTCAGCATGCTCGAACGAGACACGCAGGGGGCCTTTTGATGTCATGATATGGCGTCCATTGTGCGGAATCCTCTGCTCTCGTCCCCGGGATGCCATTCAATTGGCTGAAGCTACCCTGAGTCTTGGCCTTTCCAGCGTCTCGGCTTGATCCTGAACTGTTGCTTTGCTTCTCCCCTGTGAATTGTTCATTGTATCTTGGCGACCTACCCACACTGCTTTCGCTACAAACGCCCACCAAAATGTGCCAAGGGACGACAACTAGTATAAATCTACCAGACACAGTCGTGTTCAGGTGTGACATATCGAACAAACGCGGATGTCAGTTAGGAGACACATCGCGATACGTCATCACACACCAAGATGGCCGTCGCCCAAGAATCACCTTCCAGCACGTCCATCACCAACGACGACAGAAAAGCAGGCATTGCCAGCGTACCAATTCCCGAAGGCGGCGCTGCTCAGGCTGAAGATGTGACCGGTTGTGTGTCAGAAAATAGTGAAGATGGGAGCCTCAAGAGTTATTTTGTGAGTGATGCGTCCAAGCCGAGACATGTCTAGTGGCTGCTGAACCAACAACGTCTCGCATCCACCTTTCAGAGAATCTTCAGGTACACAGATCGTATCGGTTGGTGGACACATGCAGCAGCTTTAACTTGCATGATAGCGTCTGGTGTGCTCCTTCCGTTGATGGACCTTGTCTTTGGCAAATTCGTCACTGTCTTCAACAATTTCATAATTGGCAAGATCACCCCGGCAGAGTTTCGTTCCAGCCTCAACGACTACACGTATGTCAACTCCCCGCTGCCGTCTGACACTTCATGTGGCGCCCAACAGGATGCTGAGATAATCTTCCAGACTATACTTTGTGTATCTCTTCATAGCCAAGCTTGTCTTTGTATACATTTGGACCGTAAGTCTTCTTCGCATCTGGTGTTCTAACCTTGATCAGTGACTTACATACCACCCAAGACCCTCGCATCGATCAACGCCATCAAGATCACAAGGTCTCTGAGGATCGATTTCCTCAAGCAAACCATCCGTCAAGAGATTGCCTTCTTCGACTTACCCGAGGGCGGATCCATCTCCAGCCATGTTACTACCAACGCTAACCTCGTTAACTCGGGAATATCAGAGAAACTGGGCCTCGCCATTCAAGCCATTGCAACCTTCTTCGCCGCTTTCGTTGTCGCTTTTGCGGTACAATGGAAGTTGACCCTTATCACCATCTGCATCGTGCCCGTCATTGTCATCGTCACCGGTATCTGTATGGGCATTGACGCAAAGCAGGAAAACGAGATCATGACCATCAACTCCCGAGGATCAAAGCTAGCCGAGGAGGTGTTTGCAAGTGTCAAGACTGCTCATGCCTTCTGGGCTTTCCCCAAGCTGTCTGGCAAATATGCAGCTATTCTTGATGAGGCCAAAGCGGTCGGCGCCAGGAAGAGCCTGAATTATGCCGTCTTATTCTCTGTGGAATTCTTCTGCGTTTACGCTGGATATGGCCTTGCTTTCTGGCAGGGTATCAGAATGTATAAGGAGGGAGAGGTGTCAGAGCCGGGACAGATTGTCACTGTCATTTTTGCTGTGTTGCTCGCAGCTCAGGCCCTCACCCAGATTGCTCCACAGTCAGTTGTCATCTCCAAGGCTGCCGCTGCCGCACACCAGTTGTTCCAGGTCATCGACCGTGAGTCACAGATCGACTCGTTGTCGGAAGAGGGCATCAAACCAGCTGAATGTCGAGGCGACATCGAACTCGATGATGTCGTTTTCGCTTACCCGTCCAGACCAAACATCAAAGTGTTGCAGAACTTCAGCCTAACAATTCCAGCAAACAAGACGACAGCAATTGTTGGGCCAAGTGGATCCGGAAAAAGCACCATAGTTGGCCTGCTTGAACGTTGGTTTTCTCCCTTGGGCGGCACTGTCACCTTGGATGGTCGGAATATCGAAGAGTACAATCTTCAGTGGCTTCGAACCAACGTCCGACTTGTTCAGCAGGTAAGCACTGCAGGGTTGTCTTTTGTATACCTTATTGCTAACATAATAAACAGGAACCTGTTATGCTTGAAGGAACCGTCTTCCAAAATGTCGTAAACGGCCTGGCCGGAACTCCCATGGCAGATCTAAGCGACGAAGAGAAGCAGCGACTCGTTGAAGATGCGTGCCGTGCGGCTTACGCTCATGAATTCATCGAGAAACTACCAGAGGTATGCCACATCACCTTGCTTACGGATCACATCTAACCTGGTTAGGGCTATCAAACACAAATCGGCCAGAGAGGCTCCATGTTGTCAGGAGGCCAGAAGCAAAGGCTCGCCATTGCCAGGAGTGTCATTGCGGACCCACGCATTCTCTTGCTCGATGAAGCTACAAGTGCCCTTGATCCGAACGCCGAGAAGATCGTTCAAAAGGCACTCAACAACGTTGCCGTCGGGAGAACCATGATTGTTATCGCCCACAGACTTTCCACGATTCGAAACGCTGACAACATTGTGGTCATGGCCAATGGTCGTCTCATTGAACAGGGCACCCATGATCAACTTGTCTCCCTAGGAGGCACCTATTCACATCTTGTCCGCGTACAAGATCTCGGACAGGAACACGACGATGATGACGAGCCTCCAAAAGATATCAAGGCTGAGGTTGGAGGGGCTGTGATAACTAACACGCCGTCAAACGTGGTTGAGGCTGTCCCTGATGTGAGCGCCATGGAAGAAGGCACTGCAAAGAAAGACGACATCAACCTTTTGAGATGCCTTTTCATCATCATACGAGAACAACAAGTACTTTGGCCGGCCTTGGGGTGGGTGGGCATTTGCTGTCTTGCGGGAGGTAAGATACACCAATCCACCTTCTCGTCCGTCTCACAATGACTGACAGATAAATACAGGTGCTACATATCCCGCTCTCGCCATTGTTTTCTCCCGGATCATGGATGCCTTCGCCCTTGAGGGTGATGAGATGGTTAAACGAGGGAACTTCTTTTCGCTCATGTTCTTCGTCATAGCTCTTGGCAATCTTGTTGCCTACGCAATTCTCGGTTGGTTCTGCAACGTTACCGCTCAGGTTTGTTGTCCTCGTCATTCCATCGTCGTGTATGATATAGACTGACTTTTCCCTCCAGCAAATGGTCCGCTTCTACCGATACACAATCTTTGACTGCGTAGTTCGGCAGGACATGACCTTCTTCGACAAGCCAGGTAACTCTCCAGGCGCTCTGGTTTCCCACTTATCCAAGGAACCAGAGAGTTTGCACGAACTTTTGTCCATGAATCTTGGCGTCATCGCGATTGTGGTCGTTAACTTGCTCTCCAGTTGCATCCTTGCCATTGTCATTGGGTGGAAGCTTGGGCTCGTCCTCGTCTTCGGTGCTCTGCCACCGCTTGTCTTTTCGGGGTACCTGAGAATCCGCTTGGAGATCAAGCTTGATGATGATACTTCGGATAGGTTTGCGGACAGCACTGGAATTGCGTCTGAGGCTATCATGGCTATCCGTACCGTATCGTCGCTGGCTATGGAACGGCAGATTCTTGGCAGATATGAGAGCAGTTTGCGCTCTATCGCGGCGACATCGGTCAAGAGTCTGACTTGGACAATGCTTTGGTATGCCCTAAGCCAGTCGATCTCCTTTCTGTCGATGGCACTGGGCTTCTGGTACGGCGGCCGGTTGGTATCATACGGAGAGTATACGGTCACACAGTTCTACACAGTATTCATCGCCATCATTTTCTCCGGCGAAGCAGCGGCAATATTCTTTACTTACACCACTAGCATCACCAAGGCACAACATGCTGCAAACTTCATCTTCCGGCTCAGGGATTTAGTTCGCTCCGAAAACAAGGACGACCACCCACCAGATGCCGAAAAGCGAAGCAACGGCGCCGTCTCCATAGACTGCCAAGCTATCGAATTCTCCTACCCTCTTCGTCCCAACGCCCGAGTCCTCAAAGGGGTTTCCGTCAACATCCCACCAGGCCAGTTCGTCGCCTTCGTCGGTGCATCCGGCTGCGGCAAAACAAGTTTGATTTCTCTTCTCGAGCGCTTCTACGATCCCAGCAGCGGTACCATCTTCTTTGACGGCGTCGATTACCAACAAATCCACCTCGGCCGCTACCGCGCCAACATTGCACTTGTGCAGCAAGAGCCGGTACTCTACCAAGGATCGATAAGAGAAAACATTGCCATGGGCGTGATTGATGATGCAGCCATATCGGATGAGGATATCCTTGATGCCTGTCGCCAAGCTAACATTGACACCTTCATTGCTTCCTTGCCCGAGGGACTAGCTACCCCCTGCGGATCACAAGGCCTACAGTTCTCCGGCGGGCAGAGACAAAGGATTGCTATTGCGCGGGCGCTGGTTAGGAAACCGAGATTATTGCTGTTGGATGAAGCTACGAGTGCGTTGGATACGGAGTCGGAGAGGGTGGTGCAGGCCGCGCTTGATGCTGCTGCTAAGGGCGAGGGCGAAGGAGATGAAGGAAAGCGGACGACGGTGGCTGTGGCTCATCGGCTGTCGACAATCAAGGGCGCCGATAGAATCTTTGTGTTTTCGTATGGACGGATTGCGGAGGCGGGGACGCATGAGGAGCTGTTGGAGAGGAGGGGGATGTATTATGAGATGTGTTTGGGGCAGTCTTTGGATGGGTGAGGCATAGACAAAAAGATCGTGTATGGTAGTCGTTGTTGTTTAGCGCGACAGCTGAATTAATAGAGTTTCGGTTTCTACCAGGCCGGGATTCTTTTTGTCGTCCGTCATAGGCCCACAATTCCAGGTGCGTTTCCGCCCGGGACATCATCGTCCGTGGACTGAAACAATGATGAACTTCGCGTGGTGTTTCCAGCATTTGTGTAACATCGACTTCCCCCCTTCTGATGCTACTGTCCCGTTTGACAATTCTTCCGAACGGATCGATCGCATAATGCCACCACTGAGAAATCGGGAGTTTTGTTTCATCCGCCCCTTTTTAACCGATTCCCCACATTCTTGGGGATGATCTGGGCGCTCATTCGGGCGCGTTTGTGGTGTTCTCAACTTCCTTGCCGGAAACAACCCACTGATGAAATCTCTTGGTAGGACGCCGTCAATTCACATGTGTGTGTTCATGAGTTGTATTCCTGGGGTAAAGAAAACGGAAATGGTACCTTTCTTGAATTGGTGCCGGAACTTCGGAACCGAACTTGCCTACAAATTTGTATAAAGATTAAAAAAAAAAGATGTTTTCTTTTCGCTGACAAGCATATCGTGTGTTCAATCCTTCTCCCTTCACAATGCGGTTCTCTTCCACCACATTGATCGCCGGCCTCGTGGTTGCGAGTGTCGACGCGAGGGGCGTGAACATCGAAAACCTCGATAAGCGAGCAACGCCTACTGTCTACCTTGCCGGTGACAGCACCACAGCCAAGACCGGGGGACTTCTCATGGGTAAGTTGGATACCCTTATTAGCCTCTTCCTTCTTCTCCCCAACAAAGTCACCAGTACACTGACAACCCCAACTCAACAGGATGGGGTGAATACCTTCCCCCTCTCCTCACCGGCATCACCGTCGTCAACAAGGCCATTTCCGGCCGCTCTGCCCGCTCCTACACCAATGAAGGCCGCTTCACCGAGCTCACCAATCTCGTAAAAACCGGCGACATTGTCGTGATTGAGTTTGGCCACAACGACGGCGGCTCGCCCAACTCGGCCTCCGACAACGGCCGCTCCGACTGCCCAGGCACCGGCTCCGAAGTGTGCACCTCGGGCAAAACCGGCGAAAAAGTCTACACATTCAACTACTACGTCGAGACGGCCGCCAAAGCGCTCATCGCCAAGGGCGCCTCCGTCATCTTCTCCTCGCAGACGCCCAACAACCTCTGGGAGGGCGGCGTCTACGGCGGATACGGAACCCCCGTGCGGTTCGTCGGGTATGCGAGCCAGGCGGCCAAGAACCTTGCGAGCACTACGGGCAAGGCCAGCTTCGTGGATCACTATCAGGCCGTGGCCAATATGTATCTGAAGCTGGGCAGCACCAAGACGAATAGCCTGTATCCGAGCGATCATACGCATACGAGCCCCGAGGGAGCGGATCTGGTGGCCAAGGCGTTTGCGCAGGCGGTTAAGTTGGCGTGGAATGGGACGACGCCGTTGCAAGGGTTTTTGAAGGCGGGGAATCCTAATGTGTTTTAGAGAGGAGCGTAAGAGGTTAGGTTAGGTTAGCCGGATTCATTGTCCAGTCTGTTTAAGAGCGGTCTATCGATAGGAAGTAGTCAAAATCACTACTGAGTTCGATGACGGTCCTGTTTGAGTTTTTGAGTTTTGAGTTTTGATTCGTCTGCCCAAAGTCCGTCGTTACGCAAATGAGCGGACCGTTCCGTAGAAAAGATGATGTGCAGGAGAATAAAGATATTTGGTATTTCATCCACTCGGGTACCGTCCAGTGAAACAACAAAGAGGCCAAGATAGCGCCACAATAAAGGGAAACGTTGTTTGTGTGACCAGTGGCCCGGCTTGGTGTTTGTTCCTTCCCAAATGTACCTCAGCACCGTTGTGATGACAGCACCCATCGTGCATTGTTCTTTCTTAACAAGACACTGACGCTTTTTGCCTCCGGCAGGATTAGGAAAGTGCGATAAACGAAGTAGGATGATACCCGATGTCGGAAATGATGTGAGGATTCTTCCAAGGAAGGAGCTACCATGCATGGTACGAGTAAAACTTTTTCATGGTGCAAACCGTGCAAGAAAGGAGTCTGAGGAGGAAAGAGCGAGTGGAGATGACACCTACCTACCTGTAGGTACCTAGGTCGGGAAAGAAACAGAATTTGAAGGGAGGTGGAAGTACCTTACCGACCGGGAAGATGTATCAACGTCCCTTCACAACCCACAATTCACTCCGACCTCTTCTCATTCATTCTTCTCGTCCTCCCGTCCCCCACTTTCATTATCTTGACTGAACAACTTCAACATCATGCGCTCACAAACTCAAGCCTCGAAAATCGACTACAGCCGAACAAGCCATCGGTGTTCGAACGACAATGTCGAGACGGGAACTAAATTACCGATGTGCAACAACAAAACATGACCGCTACCCTACCACCTCTTCAATCCCAACACTCTCCCGACGTGCAGTGAGATGTGGCTCTTACTGATAGCTCGTTTCCCCAATGGCACTGTTGTACCGAATTCCCTATGGCCTCTGCGAAGTGCCGCCGGGATAATCCTCCATGTTGAAATACCGTTGAGTCTGAGAAGTCAAACCGTGGTACGTCTCCGCTATTGGCCAATGGTGGTATACTTGTGTTCCCATTCCCTGTCAACCTAGGGCTGACCTGATGTCAGAATCCTCCCGTGTTGGGTCTCAAACTGCGTCTCTCAGCCTTCTTTTCGGGCGAGTTGTTGACCAAATGCACCTAGCTGTTTAAGCTCCAATTCTGGACTCAACCGACCTCAATACCTCTTTTGCTTTCAACGTCCAGCTCAGGTAATGACGCGCCTCGCCTCCCGAAATCTGTTACGGCAACACAATCATACGACAAGCCTGCAAATATAAGCCCAGCATGCTGAACCATGAAAAAAATGACACAGACCGGCTTCGGCGTTTTGCTGACTTCACCTTCTGAGAATATCTCCGAGCCGTGTGGGAGGTGGTCTTGATCTATAGCCGAGCGTTAAACTATTTGCTTGGTATACAGCTTTGTGCGGCACACCCATACCTTCCAGCCAATACTGGCGAATTGACAAGCGCGCAGTGTAGGAGTCGAGTCTGAGCTCCTGCATCAAGGTCGTTTCGATGCATGGAATTGTGCTTGAGCTGCCTCGTATATTTCAAAGAGAAAGGATGTGATTGTCCTTAGCGACGTCGGTATCGCATGTGCGGATGCAGTTCCGTTCCTCTCAAAGCGGGCAAGGTTCTAGGTACTCGAGGGTGACGGGATGAGGAAAGAGCCTTGGCGCCGCCAAAAAGGCACCCATCACCCTCGAGTAGGGTGTGTCGGCCCGGGGATTTTGAAGTGAATATCTGGCTGACTGGGCTAAAAAGTAGTAGGGGAAATACGACTCTGAGGTCGTAGCCGACCATCTAAAAGCATGACGGGACAAACCCAACAGTCCTCGGCAACTACTGGATGGCCAATGAACACAGACTGCAGACTAACTCGGTGGCTCAACAGTGCGATATTGAGCAAGTCTAGAGACGCCGACCCAGGCTCCAGATGTTACCTAGAACTTGAGATCAGGTCAGTAGTATACCTTGGCAACATCCATCGGGAGCCGGTGCGGAGGCTTGTCTTCATGATTGCCGTCTACCTTGAAATCTCACTTTTGACTACGTAGATCAGCTTTCCATTGGAATGTGAACAGAAAGGGCGTGATGTGCTGACAGGGTAGGCTGTGCGGCTTGTGTCTTCCAGAGTGACATTATTACCGATGCCTTGGGAAAGTTCCACTATCTGGGCCATCGACAACCCGTAATGGCGTACGGGAACGGCGCCGGATTCGCCGAGCCGCAACTCCGAAGACCCGGCCACGCCAAGTCGCATCCCAGTACCTTGAGCTAACGATATCCTCCCGCTCGGCCCAAAAACGACCCTTGTCATGCCGGCTACAAGCAGTTAGGTTGGTGATGTATGTCTCACACTAGATCGTCATTGGCCCACTCGAGCTATGATTCCGGATACTGACCATAAATCATCATAGACTTCCAGTTTTATAGGTCGTACGAGTAAAGAAAGAAAGTGTCCAGATTTGGGTTCAAGCTTCAGATCGGATTTGCGTAGTATCGCATCGTACGTAAGACTTGGAGTTCAAGATGCGAAAACGAGCCAACAAGAGGCATCCATCATCAATAATAGGTATGTGGAGTTGATGCCGGCGGGATGTTGCTGAGCTGGTCTGCCAGGTCATGGGTTTGCAATTCTCACCGCAGCTCCCTTCAAGATGATATAAAAGGGGGAAGCCCAACCTCACGATGGAAGAAGATGAGATATGACCTCCCATCTTCCCCTTCAATCAACCAGAAAACACTAAAATGAAGTTCTCGTCGATCATACTCTCCCTGGCAGCCCTGAGCTCCGCCGCTCCCAACTCACCACCCCCGACTACAGATCCCGAGGCAGCAGCTGCCCTGAGAATCCGCAGCCACCAAGCAACATATCAGAAGTACATACAAGAGACCATCAAGACACGCAAGACGGGATGTACATCGAAAAATATCGTCAAGCGTAGGGAGTGGTGCGTATCCAGCAGAATCTCGCCTCACTCGAGGTTATGGACAGTGAAACTAACCAGACATCTTGTGTAACAGGGGAAAGCTTTCCAAGCTCGAACGTCTTGACTACATCAATGCAGTATATTGTCTGCACAGAAAGCCAGCTCAAACTCCGAGAGAGGCAGTCCCAGGGGCTCGGACACGCTACGACGACTTCGTCGGCGCTCATATCGCGGAGACTCTTAACATCCACTTGGGGGTAAGTTTCCCGTCAATTCCAGATCGAGTTTTTCGCAGTCAAGTAATTGACACTGACACTCATGTGCTAAACGCAGGGCCGCTTCCTCGGTTTCCACCGTTACTTCATCTGGCTCTACGAGAAAGCCCTCCGCGAAGAGTGCGGCTACCGCGGCTACCTGCCCTACTGGGACTGGACCATCTCGTGGGAAGACCCTCGCAAATCCACCGTCTTCGACGGCTCGCCCTTCTCCCTCGGCGGCAACGGCGCCTCCATCCCTCACGGCCCTTTACACTGGAAGGCCCTCGGTCTCCCGGACCTCTACCTCCCTCCCGCCACTGGAGGCGGCTGCATCTCATCCGGCCCCTTTCAAGCGTCCACATGGACCATCAACCTCGGCCCAGTCTCCAACCTGCCCGCCGGCCCCGACGAGGGGCTCGGGTACAACCCGCGCTGTCTGCAGCGCGACTTGAGTCTGGAGTACAGCGCGCTGGCGGGCCGGCCGTCAGTGGTGGCGCATTTGTTGGAGACGTGTACAGATCTCCAGTGCTGGGATAACGAGCTCCAGGGTCCCAACGGCACGCATTTTGCGGGCCACGCGACGGTGGGGATGATGATGTTTGATGCGTACGCCAGTCCCGTCGATCCGAGCTTTTGGTTGCATCATGCGCAGGTTGATCGCATGTGGACGATTTGGCAGAATAAGGAGAATCAGGAGGCGAGGAGGGGGATGACTTCGATGACGGAGACGCCGCTTAATAGTAAGTTTGGTTTTATTGTTGTTGAGACCTGAAGAGGATGAGATGTGGTGGTAGGGTTGTTTGAGTCCAGTGGCTGACTTTGACTTGCGAAAACAGACCCCCCTAGCCCGCCGGTAACGCTGAACACGACGGTTGAGTTTGGCGCGCTCACTTCCAGCAAGAAGGTGAAGGAACTCGTGTCAACGGTGGATGGACCATTTTGTTACATATATGAATGAGTGCGAAGAGGGATGGAAGTTTAGTTGCGGGCCAAGTGACGATGAAAAGGTGATGACAAAAAGATGAGAAGTTAACACCCAACGATTTATGCCAAGAAAGCCCTACATTCTCGGTTCCTGTTACCTATAGTACTACTCCCAGGGCACGGCTCCGTTTGATACAAGTATACGATGGCCGACTCCATATATGCAAACATTTATGCGGCCCAAATCGATATGTCTGTAGGTGGACTGCTACTTAAATGCATAATTCTATCGTTGCAAACTTCTTGAAGCTATCAACTTCATCATTTCTTTCCCCGCTCTTACCATTTCCCATCACTCATCAACTTCCTTTAGCTGCATAAAACTACTCCGCGACGCAACAAAGGTCGCCAATTGTCGGATGCTAGATCCGCCCATAATATCGAAAACAGCCACCTCGGCCCCGACTTCCTTTAGCAACCACGTTCGCAGCTCCACGGCGACAAGCGAATCGACACCAAACGCGTGAAGAGGCTTGGACGCATCCAGGTTTCCCATCTCTATTCCAGGTGCTTTCGAGATCTTGATCAGCAGGGCTTTAAGGACAGTGGCTTCAGCCGTGTCCAGCGAATCGACCGCGCCCAACAGCAACCCGTAGTTGACAGTCTTGTCGGCCGATGCCAGACCTCCGGCCATCCGACGCATCTGGAACAAATGGCTGAACAACGGATCGTGCTGCCAGCCAGGCGCTTCGAAACCTCGCTGGGCCATTGCCTCGGGAAGCTCCAGCCCAAGACAGATCTGTGATTTCAGAAGCGACGACGGTGCGCTCGATCCCGGACCCGGACCGCATAATGCATCAAGCAGCGCATGGAACTCTTCCTCACGCATGGCGCCAAACCCTTCGCCCCTCATATGGCCAATGAGTTCAGTGTTCTCCACCACGAATCCAACCGAGAGGATCATGCCCAGGTCCAGAGATGTGGCTGGCAGTCCGTGGGATACCCTGTACCGCGCCAGAGCATCCTGGTATGTGTTCCCGGCGCAGTAGTTGGACTGGCCCCGGCTGCCAACGATCCCTGATGTCGACGAGAGGAGGATGAAGAAGTCTAGCTCTTTATCGAGGTGCGCTACGTGGAGATTCCACGACGCGCCAACCTTGGGCTTGATGGCTGTGTGCCAGTCATCGATGCTCATGTTCTCGAACATTGTGTCCTTGAGCACCATTGAGCCTTGGATGCAACCCCTGATGGGAGGAATCCTTGTCAGACAGCCATCCAAGGTCTTTTTAAGCGATTGCGCATCCGAAACATCACAAGCAGGTGTTTCTACGTGGACGCCGACCGATTCCAGTTCCGCTACGAGAGCCTGGCCCGACTCTCGGACTGGACCGAACTGCGACACCAGGATTAGGTGCCCGGGCTCCCCGAGACGCCATCCATCGTGCAATGCTCCTACCCAGACCTCCGAGGCCTCCCGAGATCGCGTAGGAAGCTGATGGGTCAAAGCTATACTTGGGCTTTCGGCTGGGGACGACAGGGACAATGTCATCCTCATGGGGCTGCAGCACGATCTTGCCCGAGTGTGCTCCGCTCTGCATGTATTTGAAAGCGTCTTGGATCTGCCCGAAAGGGTAGACTTGCACCGGGTGAAGCTGCCGGATTGTACCGTCGCGAACAAGACGCATGCAATCCTCCAAGATGGCGTTAAAACGGAGCCCGTTATTTTTCGCCATGTGGAGGATATCAACACACCCAAATGAGATGTACTTGAATTTGTCCATGTTTAGCCGGGCTAAGGAGTAGATGTCGACTTTGCCAACCTCGACGAACCGTCCAAAAGCTGCAACGCAGTCCCACGTTGCTCGGAGAGCGTCACTCGACAAAGCATTGACGACCACATCCACTCCACGGCCTTTGGCCAGTCTCATGATTCCGTCCTTGAACGATAAATCTCGGCTGCATAGGATATGTTCCTCAGGGATCTCATAACGAGCCTTGAGGAGATCCCGCTTCTTGAGTGATCCAACCGTCGCACACACCTCCGCCCCGCGATGCTGGGCAAGTTGAAATCAGAACAGTATCCTCCTGCTTGAGATGTGCGATGTTGTACAAAGTAGCATAAGCGGTAACGAATACGACAGGTAAGGACGCGGCCGTCGTCCAGTCCAAATCTTCCGGAATTGTCACGAGGAAAGTCTCCCTAGCACGGGCGTACGTTCGCATAGTTCCCCCCGCCATGCCACAGACACGGTCGCCGACCTTGAATCGAGGATTTGGCCCTGTCCGCGTGACGATTCCTGACCCTTCGATTCCGAGAGCGGTCCCGACCACTTGGCCGAGCGAGACCATGATTCCAAGGAAGTTAAGGCCGCATGCCGCAACTTTGAACTCGATTTCTCCTTCTTGCAACGGCGTGTCGTAGAGCTGATCGTCGTCAAATTGCAGGCTATCCAAAAGCCCAGGTGTGCCGATAACCAGATTGAGGGCTCTGGACGGATCCTCGCCAAACTTCGCCGGCGCTGCTACAGTTTTCTTGGTGGTCTTCTGGGAAATGTGCCGGTTCATGTAGTCCGCCTCGATTACCCGGCTGATATGTGTCACGCCTTTAGAGACCGAGAAACTGTTGTCGACCACGTCTTGTCCACCCTTGACGAATATTTCGGTGAACAAGGAGTGTAGGCTGGCAAACAGCTTCGATATTACCATCAACATCATCCTCAAAGGTGAGGGTGACAAAGTTGATGGCTGGGTTCTCGGCTCTGATGGTGCGGGACAGGCCTCTGATCATCTCCATTTCTGGCCTCTTTGCAGCCTTGCTGCCTCCGTTGATAAGCCACAAAATTCCGGAGAGGGATGCCGTCATCTTCTTGATGACGCTCAGCCTGTCGGCAGTCATGTTCTTCAAAAACGAGGCCTCGATCTCAGGGAGGAAGATACATATCTTCTTGTCAAGGTTCGCGGACAGCAGATCTTCTACACTGATCACTCCCACTCCACGGCAAGTTTTACCCTTGCCTTTCACTGAAGCCTCAATTCTCTTTGCGGCCTCGTTCTGAAATTCGGAGCTCTGGTCTGCCACAATGACAGTGGGCGGGGGCGGCGTCAGCAGGGATTGTCGCGCTGCTGTTGGCGTCATTGCGGTCGAGATCATGATAGTGTTGATTTGGTTCTCCGATCCCGAAAAGTCGTCAAAGGCGAGATCTACCCCGGTGAAGGCAGCCCGCTGAAGATGGGCAGACCAGTCGGGGAAGGTCATCACGGGACCCCACGCCCTATAGGGTTCATCGGACAGCCATCAGCCAGGAAGCAGACCGAATGCAAAGCGAATGTAGATCATGTTCAAGTTGGTCACCTCGTAGAGTGCAAACTTGCCACCAGGCTTCAGCAGTTTGCGAACATTCTTGAGGGTTGCCTCGATGTTCTTCGTGGCGTGGATGACATTCGCGGCGATGACTAGGTCGTACTTGCCCTCCTCGAAACCCTGCTGCTTAGGGTTGTTTTCGATGTTCAACACTTTGAACTGCATGCGATCGGCAGCGCATTCGAACGTCTTCTTGGCATGCTCGAAGAAGCTTGGAGATATGTCGGTGTAATCATATCGCTCGAACCTCGCGCCGAACTCATTGTCTCCATGGTGGGTCAACGTATTGATGACGGGCACGGTCGCGCCTCCTGTACCCGCCCCGATCTCGAGAATCTTCATCGTCGGATTCTTGTGGGCCATGGCTTCGACGAACCCGGAGAGCTGGGCGTGGATGATCTCGGCGCCGGTTCCATACCGATATAGATTTTCGCACAGCTTGTCCTCGCTGAAGAGAATCTGAAGAGGGTCGACTTCTCCGGATAGAATGCTTGGTAGAGCTTTGCCCACGGCGACCACCAGCTTGGCATCGGGACTGCTATTCGCCCCGGTCATTTTGGCTTCCATCTTGCTAAACTATTCGCTGTCTAGGGCAAACTCATTCCCATCCTGCTGTCCCTTCGCGTGCACCAGATCGCCACGCTCAAAGCGGTCAAAAACGTGTTTCATCCATGCCACGTACTTCTGCAAGTGAGGCTTGCGTCCGACATGTTCAGTCCACAGGTCGGGGTTTGCAGCTGCGTACCTCCTCAGGTACATGTAGCAGATTTGTTCAACATCCGCAGTAAGCTGGGACGGGTCAAAGTTCACGAAATCCTGAGGGCGGAACAATCTCGCCGCACTTTTCTGGTCAAGCAGGCTTGGCTCGGGTTTCCAATCGATATTGAATGCGTGCTGACGGATAACGTCGTCCCCATATTCTGTTGCGCTGCTCCGGGCTGAGACAGCGGTGGACACGAACCCGTCCGCTTTGATGAGGGGGGCGAGAGTCTTTTGGGTAGACGGCGATGATGGACGCTTCTGCCTGCCGAAGCCCTAGGAAATCGGCCTGCGCAGCGAGACGATACTGGTCATGAGACGCAGGTGCGTCCGCCGAAATCCAGAGCTCTTTCATCGAGGTAGGCACCATGGGCTCTCTCACCTCACGACCACTGCGCGTCAGGGCGACAGTGAGGGCCTGAAGAACACCGTCAAGCGTAGTGGGATGAACAAGATGCTCCTGGACGAACCCCTGAGGCATCTTGCTCTTGATCTCGGGGACTTTGGACGTAATGGTGGCGATCATGTTGCGGTCGCCGTCGGGGTTAACGCGCACGTCAGAAAGGGTTTGGAATGTGGAGCCAAAGTCGAATCCGACTGTCTGAAGAAGCTCATAGAGATGGTGTGTCGACACCGGCTTGCAACACCTCCTCTCGGCCGAGGTAACGTATTCTGCGCACTGATCTCGAAAGGCACGGGCTTCCAACCCGTTGTCCACGGGCGTGTAGGCAGCTTCGTACTCGGTCTAGATCAGGCCGCGGCAGTGTTCACGCCACCCGTCGTTCTCTTGGCTGAAGAGCTGGAACTCGCTCCAGTTGGACGCCGTGCTGGACATGCTGTCCATATAAGGCCGCAGGTAAAAGTGCGTCTCGACGCTTTCCGCGCTAGCTGGCACTCGCAAGGCCATGTGTAGCGATACCTCGCGGAACCGAAATGCTTTGATCGGGCCCTTGTCCGGGTTCGCCATCTGTCTGCTGGCCTCAATGGCTATGACAAACATTCCGGGTGCTGGGTAGAGTGTACTTCCCGTGATCCAGTGGTCCCGGATCCATGGGTTCTCGCTCAGCCGTATCCAGTTCCGCCAGAGTGCATTGTTCTTGTTCCAGTCGGGGACTGGTGCGCCCAGGAGCTCGTGGCGGACGACCTTACGGAACCGATATCCCCTGCTGATTCGGCTCTCGCACCAGTACGACTTGGAATGATCAAACGGATAGCTGGGGAGATCTACCAGCAAGGAGGATGGTTTTTCATTCAACGGCGGCGGGTTAACTGCGGACATGTCGAGCTTGTAACCGCGCGAGAAGAGCCAGCCCACCGCATTGAGGGCTACCTTGGTTGAGCTTGACTTGCGCATCAGCAAGGATTGGTACGCAACCACCTTATCGGCTCCAGGATGTCTCGGATCGGTCCCCTTAGGGCACCGTGAGGTCCAACCTCCAGAAGCTCGGTAATAGGCTCTGTTTTTTGAGGCCGGACGCCAAGCTTCCTCTTCTTTGTATTCAGAGAACAATCAGAGACAAGGCGAGACAGCGACTCCGAGAACCTCACGGGCGAGATGAGATTCTGGACCCAATAGGCCGGCTCACAAAACTCTGACAGCTTCGCCTCCGCCCCGGTAAGCGAAGAGTAACACCGAGGGGTGGAGGAGACCTTCTTCTGCTGTTCCTGTTTCTGTCCCTGTTCTCCAGAGACAAGAGAGGCAGCTATCAGCTGTAGGTATCGGTCCGCGATCGGCTTCATATAAGTCGAGTGGTACGCATTGCCGACCGCGAGCTTGCGCGCAAAAATGTTGTCCTTGTCGAGCAGCTCTTGCTTGAGGTACTCAATTTTGGAGACGGCGCCGCTGACGGTAACGTTCTTCGGACTGTTGATGTATGCCACGGCAAGACTACCAGCAGCACCATCATCCGGAAAGGCGGCATCAACGCGCGATATATAAGACTCTGCCGTCGCCTTGTCCAGTGGGACCGAGATCATGCCACCACCATTGCCGCCTTTATTATAACCGCGTGCAAGCTCAGAGGAGAGAGTACCCCGGTAGTAGGACAGATTCCATGCTAACTCTCTGGATATCGTGCCGGCTGCATACGCCGCAGCAATCTCCCCCGACGAATGCCCAACGACGGTTTGCGGGAACACGCCCCAGCTCGCCAGAAGGTCGACGAGAGCCACCTGGAGCGCCGTGCAGATGGGCTGGCTGAAAGCAGGATCGTTGATGTTAAAGGAGGCGGTGGTGTCTTGTTGCTGAAACACCTCGGTGAGAGATCAAGAACAGCCCAGGGTTTTCCTCAGGTACTCGTCGGCCTTGGAGATACTCGGACGATACGGCTTGTACACCGCCAGCAACTCTCTACCCATACCGGCCCATTGTGCCCCTTTTCCCGCGAACACCAGGGCAAGTTGCGGCTTGCTGTTGCCGCTGCCTGTGTTAGGGGCGCGAGTGGCCTTGTTGAGCTGGGCCGTCTCCAGACCGCGAGCGAGCGAGGTCATCGAATCGGCTACCGCCCATGAAGACCAGCTGAAATGGGTCCGCTTGAAGGCCAGGGTGTACCTCAAGTCGCTCAGATATGACTCTGACTCTGACTCATGCGATGACGCTGATCCGGTGGTGGACGAGAAAGACAAGACCTTGTTGAGTAGATGCTCTCGGTAGGCGGTCGCTAATCGTTGGATGCCGCCTTTGTCAAAGGCGGAGAGAATGAAGAGGCGGTCTTTTCCGAGATGATGGCGGTCCAGGTCTGCATGCTTTGCACGGCCATTTTGCGTCGAGGTAGGTTTGGAATGTTCTTGATTTGTTCCGTTGACAAAACCATTCTTTACGCCATCGGTAACACTATCTTCGGCCCCGTTTCTCGTTCCTTTGGTGTGGCCGTTGGTGTGGCTGTTGACGGCACTCGGTTGTTTTTCACCGCCGAGATCCCCCTTCGGATGTTTCGTCTGCTGATCACCATTTATCTCACAGTCCATAACATCTCCCCCATCCAGAGAATTGCTCAAATGCTCCCCTTCGCTGTCGGTAATAGTGAACGATGGAAGCTTTGGGTGCAAGATGGTTCTATGGTGACCCTTTAGGCCGTTTGAGGCCAAGAAGTGCAGCGCATCGTCCACGATGACGGTTGAGTTGCTACCACCGTAGTCAAAGGAGTTGATAGAAGCACGCCGGATAACTTCAGTGGGCCACACTGTGCTTGACGGGGGAAACTTGAAGTTCCACTCATCCAGGATCCTTGGATTCTTCTTTTCGAACCACATATTGGGCGGGATGATGCCGCGTTCCAGCACCATAACAGTCTTCAAGAGGCCGGCAATGCCGGCGGCTCCTTCTAAGTGGCCAATACTGCTCTTGACAGCCCCGATGTACAATGGATCCTTGGGCGTCCGGAACTCTGAGAAGGCGTCACTGATGGCACTGGCTTCGATGGGGTTGCCAACCGGCGTGCCAGTACAATACGCCTCGAAATACCTCGCGAGGCCACGGTCAAGCCCCAAAGCCTCATACGACTGCTTGACCAGGTTGGCCTGGGCCTCCCTCGTTGGTTGGTGCATGTGTTCCGGATGACCGCCCGGATGGTATCGCCATCGCGGATAGCATCCGAGAGACGCTTGAAGACAGCAACGCCAAATCCTTCACTCCGGGAGTAACCGTTGGCACGGTGGTTGAAGCTGTAACACTTCCCGTCCGGGCTCAGGAAACCGAGACTGGTAAGTGGGATGACCGTGTCCGGGCTATAGAAAAGGTTGCAGCCTGCCACAACGGCTTGTATTCAACATCAGCGTTCAAGTCCTTTTTCGTTGTCTTTTCTTCTTATCGATTTTCTTCTTGCAAGACCAGACAGCTTAAAAAAACTTTTCCGCACAAAGGCCATCATGGGGAACACAGGGAAAGGAAGGGGAATTTGCCATAGAAGCTTCGCCGAGCCTCAGATTGGTGCACCCCTGATGAACAGCAACCAGACTGCTTGAACAGGCGGTGTCTAGCGTCAAACTGGGCCCTCGAAAGTCATAAAACCACGAGATACGGTTGGCGAGCATGCTTGTTCCGGTGCCTGTAGCGAGATACTTGCGTTCAATCTCCGGATTTTTGCTCAAGACGCTGTCGTACTCGCGAGTGAAGCACCCGACATGGACAGATGTCTTTGAACCCAAAGCGTGGGACAAGGGGATGCCAGCTAGGTACGAGGATTGGACTTGTCAGTCTCACGACGCTTTCGTTTTTATACATTGCGGTGAAGATCTGCGCAGACAAGAGAGGAGAAGATGCTGCAAAGCACAACTCACCGTTTTCGAGAGCGCGATAGACGGTCTCAAGAAGTCCGCGTTGCTGGGGACCCATGCAGATGGCCTCGGCCTCTGTAATGGTAAAGAATGGCGTGTCAAAGGTAGCAATGTCATCCTTCAAGAAGTGCGCATGCCGGACGTTGATCTTGGAGGATGTGTTAGATGACTAGATGTTGAAAGACTCGGGTGGTGAGAGGGAGACAACATACCGTACCCGATCTTTGGGGATCAGGAAGGTAGAAAGCATCGATGTTGTATCGGTCTTTGGGTACCTCACTGAGGGCTGAACGACCAGAGAGAAGAAAGTCGTAGAATTTCTCGGGCGTGTTGGCATCTCCGGGGAACTTGAGGTCAAAGCCAATAACGGCGATGGGCTCAGTAACGTTGACTTCCATGTTGAAGAAGCAGGGAAATGATAGGTATGTTGCATTTTTTTACGGGCGTGTGGAATGTGACGGAACTGATTAATAAAAGTCAGTTTGCAAAGAAACTGAGAAGGCGGATTGCCTTCACGGTGGAGGTCCTTTTCATATAAAGGCGTCACATCATAGACTGCCACACCATCAATCACTCTTGCGATGATGGCTCTCCGATATCTTGAGTGTGTTGCGAAGGAACACTTCTTCTACAGTAAGCGTTTGCTCCCCCATTGACGAGTTTTGCTCACTATGGTCATATCGGTACTGTATAAAGCGCATCTGCTACCCCCAACAGCGCGCTCGCTCCCCAAAATCTAACTTCTCCGCCCAATGGCGATTGGAACAACGATTGAGAATGCAGTGCAACTAAATGCAATGCGATGAAATACATAGAAAAGGTTGCTTTATGACTGAATGCGGCGCAAATGGTTATGAGAGATAACCCATGGAGTGTCAATGGCTGTTGGAGATGCGTTGTCGGAGGTAAGTCGACAGTGTCTGAAGACCTACTTTTATGGCAGTGCAAAGAAAAGACTTTCTCAAACTGATGCTCGCAAGCGGAGTACGCCATCGCTGATCACTGTCACATGCACGCCGATAATTGCTCTACTTACGATGCTACACCTTCCTCAAACTCCAGATTCCGGTACGTAAGCAAACAGCTTGGATCTGGTTTTGGTGTAGTAGCGAGCAGCGGTCGCTAAAGAGCACGTTCAAGGGGATTAAGTCAAGACGGGGAGATGCTGCAAGAATTTGAGTTCAGCCTCTTGGGGGCAAAGGGTCGCCAATCATGCCAGTCTTCTCCACGGTCCTTGGCCTTGGTTACTTGCTTCGGATAGTCCTGAGATTTACGTAGGCAGACTACAGAAACTGGAAACTACACATTGGGCAGGTCGTTAGGGACATGATGGTAAAAGAATAAATGATGTCAAATCCTCGAGCAAGTGTCACCTTTACCCGCTTGCTATTCCACGCGATGCGACTCACTTATTGTATAAGCTCAGGAAACCCGGAGTCTGTGTCATACAGAAAGATCGGGGTCATAAAAAACTGTTAACAGCTTTTGGCAGTCGCCAAAGAGCCAGTGCGTCGTTGTCGGACATGTTTAGTTTTGCTTTCTACTATACGGGTTTCCCAATTTTATACCTGACTAGGTATGTAAGGCATGGTTTCCTTTGCAGACGTACGTTTTGTGTTCATTGCTACCTCTACAGAGGGACAGGAAGGGGTTAGCGGGGGGTACAAACATTATGACAAATCTGGACAGGGCATGGAGCAGACACTCGACGAATCTGGGCGCAAGGAGACCTGCGCTTTCGTCTCTGCTCATTAGTTCTGTCAGAAATCTTGATTCGGAATGAAGTCACTGCGCGCGTAGACTGCTGATTGACATAGGGGACTGGTGGCGCGGGCTTTGCCATAGTCATGGACGCTCTAGTGCGATGCCTTATCACCCCGGTAAGTAAGCGAGGGCAGCTATGCTTGGAATTACAAGCAAGAAAAATACAGGAATGCAGCAATACTTCTCCGGAAAATATGCACAAATGCTCAAGGTACTTGTTCCTCAGTGTCGGAAAGGTAATTTGGACTTCCGGGGGTTAACTAGAGGTACCTAGAGATAATGAAAGGCCCATAAGTGTATGCCCAAACTTTTGATGCTATGGATGATCGATCACCAAGTTTTTTTCCTTCACTGAACTAAAGTAACCTTCGCAATTACCTCCTCAATACACTCCACCATCTGCTGCAAGACCGTCAGGGGGCCGCTCGGAATCTCGTGGCCAGCACCATGATCGAGCACAACACTCGAGCCCTGACACAGCCCAGCAAGCCTCACGAATGCCGCGAGATCGGGGTCCTTACGGCCAACAATGTTGGCCACCGGGATAGGAAGCTTGCAAGCCTTCCGATCTTCTCCAAGTTCAGGATCAAGGTACTTGATTGTTCCAGAACAAAGTGAGTCTTCGCACAGCGGAGGACCGCCGCAAATGAAGATTGCAAATGAGAACGGAGACGATGAAGCGGTATACCTGTGGGAAGCCATGGCAGGGGCAATAGCGGTCGCTGTCTCGTTGTTACTGGCATTGGCGTTGCAAGAGCGTGAAATAAGCACTGAGGCTAAGATTGCGCCTTGTGAGAATCCCATAACGCTATCAAAAGGGCCCTCATCTGCGAGGTATATACTCAGGTCATCGAGTGCTTGCAGGGTGCTTTGAGGGGAGGTCGGATCGTAGTAGGAATAGTAATCATAGTTTGGAAAAAGAGCAGCAATACCTGGATAGAGGATGTATCAATGATCAGCCAAGGGACCTTGAGTTTCAGGAGTAATGACAGAAGCCATACAGCAGGGCCGGGAATACACTGGACGTACCTGGTGCAGGTGGGCTCTCTACGGCGCCTTCGACAAACTCAAAGGTATGTAGACTGTCACCTCCAAGTAGAGATCTGAGTCCGGCGGCTTGAGTAGCGAATATCTGAGGAAACCCGCCTTGAACGTCAGTAGATGTTGATTTCAGAGGGATATCCGAAGAACACCGCATGACCGTGCCAGTTAAACGTACATCGCTACTTGTACCCATACCATGAAGACATAAAATCCGCATCGTTTCGTAAGCCTGGCGAGTTTTGTGAGAGAAGACAGGATGGATGCGGACGGCCAAAGACCGGGAGAACTCAAATTGCTGATAGATTGTGTGCGCGAGTGACATACCTAAGGTAGGTATGTACGGGTATAAGTTGGCACCCCCACTCCACTCCAGCCGGGAGGGACGGATTCGGAAACTTACTTGCAAACTTGTACCCCCTACCTAGGTAGGTTCAGTTCCATTCAAAGTCTTGAGACATACCAATTGGGCTACCTACTATACCGTGTAGCAATTGTCCCAATCACTGTACAAATGCTATACCTTCATTATTGCATCCAGATCCTTCGGGGCAGTCGAGGTCCCTCTCCTCCATTTTTTGTCCCGCGAGCAATTCAATTCAGCCTTTTTAGCAATGCTTCGCCTTTTCCATCTTAGGTACGCACCCATCTCCCTTTGTAAGTGAAGGCTGTCTATTCGCTCGTTGTCGTGATATTCCGCTGTTTCCTCGTTTCTGGACCCTTACCATGATAGCACAGGTCTTGGGGCTGCATGCTGTTTGCCTATTCGCCGATGCCCCTGGCTGGAATGTTGTGTCACCAACGGTCGACCTCTGTGTGGTGAGCTCCTTCGGTTTTGCATCAGAGTTCAGCAGTTTAGTTCGAGCTTTAACCTCACATATCACTTGCTCTTGCTCAATCTGTTACTAACATTCCTTCGCAATGCTGTCTAAAGGTGTGTCTTCGGACGCGTTCGATTCGGAAGCAGCACCCAATAAGTCAATAACAACAGTACCGTCCGTCACCTTCATCACACTCAGATGAACCGAAAATTGAAGGTGTCATCATCGAGTGCGAACAAAGCGAGGGTCCTTTCATTTCCGGATGGAGGAAGAATGTCTTGACCTTTGGCATCTGGATAGCTCTCTTCCTGTCGACACTCGAGACCACCATCGTGAGCATCTCGCTCGTGTGCATCACAAACACCCTCAGCGGCTTCCACCTGCGTGATTAAGTTGTCACCGTCTACTTCATCACCTACACAGGCTTCCTGATCATATACGCGAAACTCGGAGATGTTTTCGGGCGCAAGACCATGTACCTCCTCGGCCTGGGCATCTTTATCATTTTCTCATGTCTATGTGGTGCTTCCACCAATATCGTCATGCTGCAAGTCATCGCTGTCCAAACTCCCTTTCCAAGCTAAGTGATATGGTGGCTTCCTTACTGACCGCGACATCACATTTACATAGCATTATTTTCAGGGCCTTCCAAGGGATGGGTGCTTCTTGTATTTATTCCATGACCATCGTGATAGCCCCGACTCTGGTCTCCAAGGCCGAGTTCGGCAAATACATCGCCATCATCTCCACCGTCTTTGCGCTTGCAAGCATCCTCAGTCCCATCTTGGGTGGTGTAGTGAGTGCAAGTGGCAGCTGGCGCTGGGTGTTTTTCCTCAAGTGAGCTCCCGTCCCATCTGTTCCTTTTTGAGAAAACACTATGTCCTTGCAATGTGCCCGGCGCTAACTAATGGAAAAATAATTCCATGGGTATTCAGTGGTCCAGCCGGAGGTCTAGTAATGGCTCTTCTGGCATGGCTCCTCCCTGGTTCTAACAAGAATCCGAAACTGCCCCTACCAGCATTGCTTCGCAGCAAGCTCACTTCTTCTAACCTGAGCAGGGTCGACTTTATCGGCGTTGTCCTTCTTCTTGCGTCTTTTATGCTCATGGTTTTTTCGCTCGAGAGCGGCGAAACAAGGTATCACTGGAACAGCCCAACCATCATATCGACACTTGTTCTTTCCTTCGCGACAGGCGCCCTGTTCTTTTTCTGGGAACGATCGAAATGGGTCAAGGAGCCGGTCTTCTCGCCCCGTTTGCTCAAAGGTCGATTAATGCCGGCCATGCTTGCGTATATTGCCTTTTTGCCTACCTCTTCTAGCCATTTGGATTTAAATTCTCTACAATGACACATTACTTACCGGTCCGTGTGGAAACAGTTCCGCTTTCTTCATCGGCTTTCCCTTCACAGCCATCGTCGTCAACACTCCACAGAGTCTGCAGGCCGTCTACGGATATTCTTCCTAGAAAGCCGGAATTGCTCTTTTGCCACTGCTCCTCCTGTCACCTGTTGCAACTGCTGTGTCTGGGTATTTGACATCTAACCGAAACGTTCCGCCGGTGTATGTTATCCTTGCGGAGTCTGTTTTCCAGCTCATTGGCGTTGGCTTGACTTGTGTGCTTCCTACTCTGCCCGTCAAGGCAGATACTCGTGTTCCAGCGAGTCAACATGGCTTTGAAGCAATCATGGGCATTGGCTTTGGCTTGACTATCAGCACAATCTTGACGTTGGCGCCTTTGGTGGTAAACCCCGTGGATCTCCGTAAGTTGCTTGCTTCCCCTTTTAGGACGGTACAGTCTGAGTTTGAGCCCCGTTGAGTTCTGGGGGTGCTGACCTTGATTGTGTAATTGATACAGCCGTAATGATGGGGGCTGTCACTCAAGTCCGTGTTCTTGGAGGAACAATTTCCCTCGCGGTGTGGTACGTTTCCAGCTTTTACACCATTCTTCACGTCGCCGCCTTTCGCAATCTGTCATTTCTGACCGAATCTCAATTGAACTACAGCTCAATCTTGTTCAACAACCATGTCAAAAGCAAACTTCCGGGCCTTCTGGATCCATCACGCATCGCGGAGATTTCCGAATCCCTTTCAGCAACTCAAAACCTGCCATCCGATGAGCAGATCGCTGTCAGGACGGTCTACGCCGAAGGATACAACAAGCAGAACATATTGCAGGCTGCCTTCTCTGGGATTGCGTTTTTATCTTGCTTGTTGCTATGGGAAAAAAACTCCCAGGCGACCGACATCCCCACCATCAAAACTACCTAGCTCCCAAGTCTTGGTTAGTCACGAACCGAGGGATGAAGAGTCTCATCGACGCAAAAAGGAGGCGGCAGGAATTTAACGCAAACAACGAGAAAGAGAAAGAAGAAAGAGGATGAACAGAAATACAATGGAAGAAGCGTAAAAAAGGAAAAAGATTGGGGCCACCCGGGGATTGAACCCCGGGACCTCTCGCAAGAATGCTCAGGATTGAACCCTAAGCGAGAATCATACCACTAGACCAGCGGCCCTTGTTATGTTGTTGAATTGTGGTGGTGGTCTTATCTTTATAAAGTAATGGCCGCAATCTTGTATCCTCTATTCTCGTTCTGAATGGTGTGGCAGGTGGTTCCCACTCACTATATACCTTTCGTGCGATGGAAAATTTTTAAATCCATATAGAATGTAGATGGATGTGTGACAGCGAAATGAAGGTGGGGTAAGGGATATAGGGAACGAATCGTGAAGTTCCGCGTCACTGCCGTTTAGTGGTTTAGCGGACTACAAGTTTGAGGCTACCCAAAAAATATTAAAAAATTTTTAAGATTAAAATTAGTTTAAGAAGGAATGTTGATGAAGGAATCTACAACAGGAGCATACACAGATCAACCACCAAAACATCTCAACTGGACTTACATTTATCTCATGTCATCTCTTCATTGCCTATTTGTACTAGAAGTGACTACCTCACCACAACTAGTCTGCTTTCCCATCTTACCAGCCACTTTCAGACAGTTTTCTCTTCGCCATGAACAAATCTTCGTTGCAGTCCCTCCCCACTGAAACATGCGTTGTCCGTAAAATGTCCGTCACACGGCTGATACCTTCCCTTCACCTACCTGAACGAGTACAGTACAATACATGCTGTATTTCAAGTGCTTACCTTATTTATGACACTGACATCTATGACTGATATGAAAAAAAGACAAATGAAAGCAAACTGATCGTATTTTCGATTGACAAAAAAAAAGACCATACCTAACTAATGTCCTTATTTTTACAAAAGGGATCCAAACATAACAGGGACCCTCCTCCGAAAAAACTCTTATACCACCAGCTTACGGCCTACAAACAAACCCCCGTGCCTTCCTTCCTTCCTTCCTTCCTGGATATACTGATCTACCACACAATCACACATTTCTTCACACACATCTTCAATGTCGCTTTCGGATACTTTTGGGCAAGACAAAAGAAAGTTAGGATTTGGTAATGAACGACTTTTGGAGAAAACCCCAAAGACAGAAAGATGATTAGATAACATGTTCGCAACCGACCCCCGTTCTTTTCCATCTTATCTGCTTCCTTCTCGAATATCTCTCCTTTGGGACTCGAACAGTTTCAGTTCCTGTGATTGCGTAGAAGAAGAAAGGGTAGAACATAGACAAGGTCAAGCAGGCCAAGGCCAAACTTCTCTTATCTACCTACCTTATGTCGTGTCTCAGTGACGATTTGCATGACAAGGTGATAGGTTGAGTGAGGAACCCCGGTGTTGATCCTTCCCCACTCTAGGCGACCCAAGTGGAGTTGACCCTACCAGTAGCCTTTGCTCGAGCGTAATTGATGAATTCGACACTAGTGCCGACGCTTGTTTGTATGGAAGTGGAAGTCACTGTGCGGGTAAGGACGCGGCGGCTGCTCGTGGTGCCGGGCTCAACGGTAGCCGTGGTGACAACAACAGGCCCACCAGTGCTTGCTGAGCTGGGAGCAGTTCGCGTGGTCAAGGTTGGTGTTGTATTGCGGCTAGTGCTTGCAGTCGAAGAGCGAGTGGTCAAGGTCGTTCGGGTGGAAGTACTGCTGGACTGGCTTGCTGTGATCGTCGCTGCGGGACGAGTGCTGGTGGTGGTGGAAACCGCCCTTGTTGTAGTAGTTCCGGCACGGCTTGCGGTGCTTGTGGTTGCAGGGCGGGTAGTAAAACTAGTGGAGATTGTCCTAGTAATAGTAGTAGCGCCAGCCCGGCTAGTCGTGTTCGTTGTTGCGGGACGAGCGCTGGAAATGGTGGAAACCGTCCTTGTTGTAGTAGTTCCGGCCCGGTTAGTCGTGTTGGTTGTGCTAATACTAGTGGTTCCAGAACGAATAGTTGTGCCAGTACTCGTCTTTACGGAACGGGTGGTTGTTCGGGTACTAGTCGTCGCCGAGCGAGTAGTCGTTCCAGTACTTGTAGTGGCTGGGCGAGTAGTAGTCCTTGTCGTAAAGGTAGTCCCGGAACGGCTTGTGCTAGCTGTAGTTGGGGTAGTAGTCGAGCGCGTGTTAGACGTGGAAGTTTGAGTACTG